ATAGAACAGCTGATTACTATAAATAAGGACTTTTTAAAGCTAATTAGTTGACTGTTCCCAAGTTCTCTTTACTGAAGAAGTTGGGCACCTTTCCCCATCCTGATACTCTCCATGTGTATAAGGCACCAAATCCTAGACTTCAATTCAATTCAATTCATTCATTCATAATTTGGATTTGTTAGGCTGATGATGAAATGACTCAAGGCAGCACACAGGACAAGATGAAAACACAACAGTAGAAAAAGAACCCAATAGCAAACAACTGTCTGAGGAATATTTAGACAATTAAAACAATCATACTATATTAGCAGGTTTATGAAACCCTGGGGCCTGCTGGAAGAGCCAGTTTTATGGCCTTGCTGAAGGACAGCTGGGGCAGGGCCATGCAGACCTTGAGGGAATGCTGTTCCAGAGAGCAGGAGTGTTGGTGGAAAAGGCATGCTTCTGGGGTCCCATAAGATGACATTTTGTAAACTGATGGGACTCATCTGGGAGTGTGCAGTCTGTAAGAAGGATAAAATAATTAGTCCTGGCAATATAAATTAGATCAGCATGCCTTGAAAACAGCCCAAATGAAATCTGACACTATCTCTATCCTAACCTCCCCAGGAGGTACTGTCACAGTCAGGAGACCCCTACCAAAAGGATTCTTGACTAACCATGTTGATTGCAGAGGGACATGGAAAAGGATCTCTGAAGACATATGGGATTCCTGCAGGTGTGAGTGATAGTGTAAAATATTAATGTAATGGCACTCATGGTGCTTTTGTCTGCTTACCATTTCCTTGATCCTCTGGCATTCTCCCTGCCCATTTTGCTCTAGATGCAAGTTGACCAATGCAAATACATCTGTTGCTCAGGGAGTTTTCTCCTTCTTTCTTAATTTGCACTTAAATCTGTGAGCTCCCGAGGGGACCTACAAGCAGTACATGGGTAGAAGTTGGCTTTTGCCTGCATTTAATTCCCCTGAGTTCCTTTATTGTTTGGGAAGTTTGATGCCATGTGTTTGCATGGCTCGTTGAGGTCATATGCTAGGTAAACATTTTAGCATTAACTCGATAGCTCAAACTATCCAGATAAACAAAATTGAATTCATTCGATAAAAATTCTCAAAGCAGCAGCCATTGGTTTAATCCATCTCCCAGTGGACAGTGCATAGTTACAGTGACCATCTGTCCTTTATTATAAAGGCCAGTTCTGTGGAGTCCTTGGTACTCTCTGAGCTTGACTGTTTGATTCCAGATGTTTCATTACCCGACTAGGGAACATCATCAATGAGAGTGAGTGTGGGGTTTGCTCCCTGTTTATATACAGTGGCTTGCTCTGCCAGTGTTGGTGGGAGTGTGGTTTCATTGTTTGTCTGATTGATTGTCTCCTTGGTAGTTCCTTTATTAGAGTATTGCTTTCTGCTTGATGGTTATCTGGTGTAAATCCCTGCTTATCTAGGTGTAGGCTGCTGGAGAGTAGGGAGTAAACCCCACACTCACTAGCACTGATGATGTTCCCTAGTCGGGCAGTGAAACGTCTGCAATCAAACAACCAAACTCAGAGAACACCAAGGACTTTAGACTTAGATTTAGATCTATTTATTTTTCAAAAACTCACTTTTGTCCTTTATTTTGGTCATTTAACCTCTACCATACAAATAGTACCACTTAATGCACAGTTTTACACATTGAGTTTTCTTTTTAAAATTAATTTTCATTCATTTTGATTTTAGATATTTTATTAGAATATGCGTTTTTGTAAAGTTTTACTTGGTTTTGGTTTTGCTCTTTGTAAAACAAAGCCATAAACATAAACATTTTTTTTTTTTTATTACTCTTATGAATCTCTTTCAGATTTGCACCTTTTTCAGGTTTTCCTTTATTTTTTCCAAGAAACTATGGTCACTGTATACATACTACAATTTACTTTATATCTCAGAATATTATGGTGGTGAATTTCCTACTTCTGAGCAGCCAACGATGTGGAGTTGAGACCTGTTCATTGTCCTTCCCCATCCCTACCCCTTCAGTTATATGCAGTGATATGGATCCCATTTACAATATTTACCCAGATTCTTTAATTCTCCCATTTTCTTTTAGTTCCCCTAAATAAGAGTTTTAGCCCAAACTTGGCCCTTTTGTAGCATAACTCTAAAAAGTGTGCTGTCAGGGTACAGGCATGAGAGGCTCAGAGCAGACACTAACTTTGCTTTAATTTAAATGTAAACTAATTACATTAAATTAAAATATACTTTCTGTTATTACTCCATATTTACTAAAGCATGTTCATTTCTTGTAGCATTAAAAATCATAGCTTGGTGGCAAGTTTTGCAGGCATCCTGGGGACCTAAGTTAGAATGTAGTGCCTGTCCTTGATTTTAACCCCAATTGTGACCCACCATAATGAACTCACATACGGGAGTTTACAGGCAAAATCGGAAGCCTTGACAAACTCATAGCAAGGATCAAGATAGAAATGACTACATTCAGCTTTGTTGGTCAAAAAGTTTAGAAACTGTTTCGCTCTTGACCGAGTCGTATTCATGCTGTTTCTCATTTTCATTTAATTTTGATCAAAATGAATGAACATAGTGCAATCCCCATCTGAGTTGCACATGTTCAGTATGTTGATCTATTCTAGATGGCTTTGGGGAAAATTAGTAAAATTTTGTAAATTAGTAAAATGGCTTTGGTCCCAGGCCTGGGGTTGATGTTTATGATTTGCTTAAGGCCTCTATTTTTTTACGTTGATTTTGTTTATTGGATTATCTTAGTCTAGGCCAGTGATGGCGAACTTATGACATGTGTGTCAAAAGTGACATGCCATGATGTTTTGGGTGACACACGAGCATTCACCAACATCCGACAACAACCATTCTCCCAGTCTGAGTTACCAAAGAAACTGAGTTTGTTTTACTCATATTTCATTTTTGTAATTATTTGACGTTTCTTTGCATAATACATAGCACCACCCATGACTGGACTGTATTTTTGTTAAATAAATGAATATGTAAAGAATTGTTTCTCTTCTGTTTGGTGGGGTTGTTGACATGCCAGCAGTCAAGTTATGCATTTTCCACATTTTTAACACACCGAGCCCAAAATGACATTTAAAAGTCTTCCTTTTTTCACAGTCATGTTAATCCTTGTTTTTTTTTTTAAATTGAAATAGTACTTAGACTTGTAATTAGTATTACTATTTTGTTACAAGGATGTCCCACTGAAAGCAGTCCATTTTCTCAGCTTTTTCACTCTTCTTCACTTTACAGTCCTGTCCACTTATTCTCTCAAATTATTTTTCTCAAATCACTAATTTTAGGATAGCATCCAATCAGAGGTCACAGTGATATCAAATTGTCAAGCTACTATTCATTCATTCATTGATTCAGGATAATTCAGAAGGAGGACAGGAAATGGTCTTTCATTCTTTTTATTAACGTAAGAGCCATGTTAGGGAGGTAGCTCACCTTGGGCTCTAATCATACACCTTCCTGAAAGATCTTTATTTTGCTGAACTCATACATGCAAAACGCATTTTTTCATTTTTGCTTAGCCCTTGATAGAAGAGCTATGGTTTCAATTTGTCATGACTGTAGAAAGCTCTTGTTCAAATATCGCTCCATAAGAAAACTCAGGTAAAGGAAGGAGACAGGAATTAGCTCAGTAGAGATGGGAGGGAGGCAGGGAGGGAGGGAGGGAGGGAGGAAGGAAGGAAGGAAGGAAGGAAGGAAGGA